CCAGATCAACAATTTAAATAGTTTAGGTCCCGATTATTGGCTGGGATTTAAGCATGTTTTTGAAAACGTGCAACCACACTCGGCACTTAAAATGATTTCGAAAGATTCAAAATTGATGTGTACCTTGGCTTGTAAAATTGAACCCCATTGTGTAGCTTTTGCCTTTCATCGACAAAGAAAAGAGTGCCATCTTTATACCAGAAATGTTGAAGAACTGGGAAGTGATCCCGACCCAGGAATGAAAGTTTTCTTGGTGATTACAGGTAAGGTATAACATTGTTTTCTTTGACGCATACCCTGTAACTTGTAAACTTTCACCTGTAGTGGTTACAGGTAAGTTATTAAATTATTTTATTTGATGCTTATTGCACTGTGGTTTCCAAAATCGAAATTTCATATGTGGTGATTTAGTTGAATATATGCCTGTTTTTCTGTTAGACTCGGGTTATCGTATTGATAGGCCGAGAAAGTTCATTGGGATGTTCAGAAGTGTGTTCCTCTTGTCAATGGTGCAGAACGGAGGACCTGACACGGACAGCTGTCTAGTCGTTCGGATGGGACGAAAAATCGTGTATTCATTGGCGTGCACGTATAAGATCCCTTGGTAGTTGGAATTCGATATAAGACCAGGCCATAAAGCCGCTGCCCGGGCAAACCTTCCCTCATTGTATGGTGTATGCCCGTCTTCATTGGCCCAATCGGAGTAGAACAGTAGGACGTTAAACCCAATTTCATTTCATTTATATACCTATCAATTTATGAAACAAAGGGGTCAACTCCTAAACAATTGCAAGAAAAGTTTGTTTTGATGGTTTCTGGTAGCGCTCGATTTCCTGGATGACACTTTAAAAGTTTTCCAAAATGGGAGTACGGAAAAGTCCCGAAGTTTGAGGGTAAATGTTGAGGTTCTTTAGTCATTTTCCTTTAAAAGGTACAACTCCAGACAAAGACAAAATTAGAAGAGAAATACACGAAACTATCAGGGTCAATATTTATTATAAACTGGTTTTTCATACCCCAAAACCATGCGACCCAAAACACACATTTATAAAGGGGCGTAACGCTACTCATTTTATGATAAAAATAACAGGTTTTGTCTCCAAATTAATTCTTTCATTTGAAGATATGTATATATACATATTTGTATTTTCGGGGATACCCCTACCCCCACAACCTTCGACTGAGGACCTAAATTCTACTTTATAATAATTTCTTATACCATTTTTGTGGCATCACCTACCACAAAACATGTGGCCGTGAACCCAAATTTGCCAGTATTCGTAACTATGCACTATTTCATCACATGCTTACATGTTTTTGATGGATTCCCAATTTCTCCATAACCCGCTTTCGTGGCAGAAGAGTCAATCAAGACAAGCAAAGAAATTATTTGCCAATTTGCTCTACATAGAATGAAGCGTGCTATAAGATTTCAAAAACGCATGGCGTCGCTCTTCCTTAACTGAGCGAGAGCGAGAGAGAGAGAAATGGGGTTTAACATCCACTCGACACAAACTAGGTCATTTCGGGACTAACATATGGTTCAATTTTATTTCAATAATTCGCTTGCCCTTAGGGGTCTTTAGCAGTGGGAGGAAACCGGTGGACCCGGTGATAACCTAGGAGGTTGGATAGGCGACCATACTCCTTGCCACGTACAACCGGAAATCGAAACCACGCCAGTTGACTCAATGGCAGACCTTATGATACAACGCGCACGCGCTAACCATTCGGCCATCCAATCCCCCATTAACTGAGCACGTAAACGTTCCTAATATACATGTATAGGGTATGAAGAAAGCACCAGTTTATGCCACTAGGTTTATCTTCAAAGGAAAGAATGAACCCAAATACATTAATTTATATTTATAGTCATGATACATGTATAGGGTCTTAAAGCAACAGTTTTGGGTTTTCTATTACATCTTACATTTTACCGCGTTCCGGTGTGCAAAATTTAGTAAACTTTTGGGATGTCATAAAGGAAACCTAAATAAACACAACATTGTTTAAAAATGTTGTCTTGCAATTTCTGTAGGGATAAAATTGTTAATTAACTGGTCATGATTCCGTGTAGTATAAAGCACGAGGCTGAGGTTATGCTGGGGAAAGAAAGACTGAAGAAAATAACCCGTGAAAAATAAACACCAAGGAAGGCAGGCCGAGGTTTTTCTGTCGAGGCTTTTTTCTGAAGTCTTTCTTCCCCAGTATAACCGTCTATGTTTACATGTACGTAAAATGAGAATATCCCAGAATTCCAGTAAGAAAAACCTTATATCATGTTTTCTTATGGGAAAATAAACTACCCTGGAAGAATAACACGTTACAGGTTTAAAGATAATATTTTAGAAGAATAACCCCAAATTCCCCTGTATATATCCAAAGCCGCCCCTGACTTTCCGATCGCAGTTATTCCGGGCATTGAATATACCCCAGAGATCAGACAGATTTACCGTTATATGTTTATAATATTGCTTAAAATGGCGCATCGGGACTTTAAGCTGAGTTCATTATTACTTACAGATGGGAGCAATCTTGCCAGTCTAAAACCGTCATCAACAAGCTCTGTCGGTAATCTACAACCAATGTCAGCAGCTCTAGATAACAACCTAAATACCTGTTTTCAAACACAGAAAGAAGATTATCAATCCTGGTTCCTTGTTGATTTGATGGAAACATTTCTAATTCGTTTGATACTGGTGTACAACGAGGCTGGATATCGTAAGTATAGATATTTACATATACCGTATTTGTGTCGAATGGACGTTAAACTCTCTCTCTCTCTATCTATCTCATAAATATCTGGAGGTTTAAAGGCTGATTACGTAGTGCATGTTATCCAGTTGAATGTCTACAATGTCTGTGTTCTCCGGCTGATATGAAATCAAATGAAATGGGATTTAACATTCTACTGTTCTGCGCCGAATGGGATAATAAAGACAGGCATACGCAATGTGATTTGAGGAACATTTTGCCCGGGTAGCGGCACTAGAGCCTACTAGTAAATCAAATTCCAGTGCTTAGGGTTCTTTTTCATGCACGCCAATGTGTACACAGCTACATTTTTGGTGCAGCACAATGCGGTCGGCTATTAAACAACATTTGTTTCTTTCCAGCTGAACGCCTCCATGATGTTAATTACGAAGTCTACGATTCTGATCCAACGGTAAACAACTCTTCAGAAGGTAATTGCTGCGCTTCAGTGGTTGATTACAATACAGGTAAAAACATCATCAGGTGTAAAGATGGCGTCTATGGTAGATTTGTGAAGATTTTTATCGAAAAGTCAAATTTCTTAACTCTTTGTGGAGTGGAAATATACGGTATACCTGGTAAGTATTCTAGATTCTTTCTGCTGGGATTGTGTACCTTTTATGTAGATGGTGGGGTTTATAACGTGAGGTTAATACATTCAATCGTATCTATTTTTACTCTAATCAGTTATGTTCGGCGAAATACGCGAAGAGTGCAAATTGAATGTCGGTCTTTAGCGTCTGTTTATTCCAGACTGTATCGGCAGTATTCTCTTACGGGGTATGTTTCGCCTCGCTCATTAAGTCGCCTGATTACAAATACTGCTTGAAAGCATACTGGCACGCGATGCGTGTCCAATTTGAAATTTACATTTTATCTTAAATATTGGATAACCATATTTAAAAACTATCTTTTTCCGCTAAGATAACAAGATCAATGTTGATTTAAATTGACTAATAAGCCCTGTTTGCAACGTCGACGACTGTGGATAATATTGAGTTAGCGACTTGCCTCCTTTAAATAGTTATTATCAATTATATACTAATATGTCTATGATTACACCACTCTCCCATTAGTATCAATTATAATAATACTGTATGTCCCAATCGATGATTACACTATCAGATCTATATTTGTATTGGTTATATTTTTGTATTCAATAACTTTCTCCAAACTGAATCAACAATGCACTTAGTATATAATATCTTTCTCCAACCGGATTCCACAATATCTGAAACCTTGTTTTGGTCAATGAAGCAAGTGGTGAATATGTGCTCTGTTCTAATTGTCCATACTTAAACTTTATTTTAGTGAATGAAGAGAGTAACACCTGTAATCAACATTATGAATGTGAGAAATTGCCAGGTAAGATCAGGTGATATTTTAAAAACATTCCACTTTCATTGTGGCCATCCCTGTTCTCCGGTTTTCCCTGGATTCGTCAATAATACTTTACTGACAAGGGACATCGTATAGTCGTTCGGATGGAACAAAAAATCGATTGCAAGTAGGCCGTAGTTTCGCTTTCCGGACGTTAAACTCCATTTCATTTCATTTCATTTACTGGTTTTGGTTTTTGACATTGTCTGGCTAGCACTTAGAAGGAACCCTGTAGAAAATTCAAAAGGCGCAACATTTTATTCTGGAGTTACTATTCTTCTCGCCGAAAAGTTTTGAACGATTCTATGGAACCGCAGTGGCTCAGTGAGTGAGACATTGGTTCGCTGACCTGGAGGTCCTGTGTTTTATCCTGTTGTTGGCCGAGAAGGCACATTTGTATTTTCCGGAGTGATTCCCCCTTGTCAGTGGTGCAGGGCAGAGGGCCTGGCAAGGACAACGTAAAGTGGAAGATCCGGGATTCCGTGTACACATTGGCATGCACGCAAAAGAACCGTTGGCTGTTGGAATCCGATATAAGAGTAGGCCATAGCGCCACTGTCTAATTATTGAAATAATATTGAATAATAACATTGACAGTCTCTCGTTGTTTCTGCCCCCCTCTCTCTCCCTCTTTTCCAAATTCGTATTTCCCCTGCCCTTCACTGACTTTATTATTTATCAAGATTCTCGCTATATCTGATGCTATTTCATCTTCAACAGACTACCGTCATTATTTGGCAAATTATTTTGTTGCAGGGGGTGAAAACATTGCTTTCGGAAAACCAACATCTCAGAGCTCAACACTTGATCCAGTCAGAGAACAATCTAGTGCGGCTGTTGACGGAAACAAAGATGGCCACCTTCTTATGTCAACGAGTAGTTGTCAATGCTCTAATCACGGTGACTTCAATCCATGGTGGCAAGTTGATCTAGGATGGATGTATGACATCACAAGTATAACTATATCTAACAGATATGATGATAAACCCAGTAAGTCACCATAGTAACATTGAAATCTCTCCCATTTTCAGTTGGATAAAATAGACTATGTATATTTGTCATAGTGGAATCAATTGTAACGACGATGTTATCCCCATTCGGCATTTGGGATATGTTTAATTACAGTATGCTTTTTAACTGTATTAAAATGTTGACCTGTCGTGGTTAATCTGATCTAGCATTAAATAAAATAAATTGAAAGAAGTCTATTTTCAGAAATTAGATTTTGTCTGCTAGCGACATATTTCTTTGGATAAACGAATTAAATCATGTAATCATGAATGTGCCATTAAAAAAGCTAATAGTCGTATATTTAAAGAGCGATAGACAAATACTTTCCGGTGAAGCATTATACGATAACTGGAATGTCGTATTAAGACGCGTATTTTGACTTTTAAATTCCCCCTATACTTAATAAATAGAGTTCACACGATCCAAATTATATCTGCTTTAACAAGGTAGGTTGGAAGGGGGCAGGTGGGGTCTTAAATGTCAAAATACGGATCATACTATGACATTGCAGATATCGAACAGAATACCAGTGAATAGAGGTGCCATTTACCTTTTCAGAAATGTAAATTATATTCTGGCACATGTAAATTTATCATGTATTGCATGAGCGGTAAAATATTTATTTCTTTATCCCTCTGTCAGTATATTACGTATTATTCCAAGGCACATTCATGCTTACATGATTTAAAAGAGATAAAACACCCTTTCGTTTGAGCAAAGAAATATGTCGCTATCAGACAAAACCTAATTTCTGAAAATAGACTAGTTTCAATTTATTTTCTTTCTCGGGGGCCCGACCCGATTAGCCATACTACGCACGTCGTTTCACTAGAGTCACGGTCATCGAGTGATTTTTCTCATTATATGCTTTGCTTGCTCGATTCTTCTTTATTATATGGTGAATTATTGTATGCAAGGTTGATTTCCAATCATGTCGTCATAATATTCCGGTTCGATGGATTTCGAGAAATGTTTTTGGAGAAATGTTATTGAAGAAATGTTTTTGGAGAAATGTTTTGCAAGATTTGTATTTGGAGATTTGTATTTCGAAATTTGTTGTTTTTCGTTGTATTTCTCTGATGAAATGTAAATGTAGATTTTTTTTTGATTTACTGAAATAAATGTTTTATCTTTATATTAAAATAAAATTAAATTAAACAACATACATTTTACAATTCTGATATGACAAATGTAGGATTTGTAATACAAATATTGATTTTAAGATACAAATGTTGATTTTAAGATACAAATGTTGATTTTAGTATACAAATGTCGAAATATGTGTTGTCATATTTCGACATTTGTATACTATATTTGTCTATCGCTCTTAAATTCCTATATTCCGCTAACGGCCGTTGATAATTAAATCAAGAAAAGCGGATAATCGAGACTTGCTGTTTATATTAATGATTTTAGTAATGATGACCGAGACTATGCCAAAATTTATCGAGCTTCTTTCTCGGCTCATGGTGGATCAATTTGACTGAAATTTTCAGCAAATTACCTTTACACTATCAAGTTTTTAACTATTATAGCGAGAACTGCAATCTCGTTATCTTATCTCCCATAATGTATCTTTAATATTATAATCTCCATGCGGACACGTCGGTGTTAGATCAAATCTGTACACTCGACGCAAACTAGGTCATTCCGTACTAACCTATGCTTCAATATTATTTCAATAAAGTTTTTTGAAGTGGAAGGAAATCTGATCATCCAAAGAAAACCCACGAGGTTAGACAGGCATCCCTTTTGAGGTTGACAGAAAGGTAGCTTCTCGTCAAAGTTGTTGGGGAACGGTTTTCTAATGTGACTGTAATGGTAGATTGACAGATCCAACTGTCGGTAATCCAACTTCTAAACTGTGCATATTTCTACCAGGAGTGTTTGGATGTACTGTGAGAACATTTGAATGTGATGAGAAAACAGTTGGCAGGTTTATCAGGATATCCAAACCAACAGAATATCTCACTATGTGTGAAGTGGAGGTGACGGGTATACAACAGTAAACATTAACTGTTACAGTCAGAATACAGTGGAACCTGACTATTATAAACATTAACTGTTACAGTCAGAATATAGTGGAACCTAACTTATATCCATAAACGTTAACTGTTACAGTCAGAATACAGTGGAACCTGACTAATATAAACATTCACTGTTACAGTCAGAATACAGTGGAACCTAACTTATATCTATAAACATTAACTGTTACAGCCAGAATATAGTGGAACCTGACTAATATAAACATTAACTGTTACAGTCAGAATACAGTGGAACCTGACTAATATAAACATTAACTGTTACAGCCGGAATATAGTGGAACCTAACTTATATCTATAAACATTAACTGTTACAATCAGAATATAGTGGAACCTAACTAATATAAATAAACATTAACTGTTACTGTCAGAATATAGTGGAACCTGACTAATATAAACATTAACTGTTACAGTCAGAATATAGTGGAACCTGACTAATATAAACAAACATTAAATATTTTACGGGTGAAAGTAAAATAATTGTGACCCCGATTTCAATACATGTACGAATGGGATGAAATTCAAATAAAATGATCTGCAAAAATGAGCAATGAAATTGTAGCTTTAAAGTTGTATGTTCGCAAAATGTGATGTATTTTAGACGTGATATTATTATCCATAATAAGCCATACTATTTTGAAATGTTTTTATAAAACATATGACACAGTTATATTTTCTTTTTCATTTTCCTTGAGTTGTTTTCATTATTGTTAGTTTATTTGTAATTTTGAGTGAAGTTTGTATCACACTACAGACCCGGGACTGTACAGCCCAGTGGACGCTTACACTTAATCTGATATGTACGTTTGTTGTTTGTGGTTATTGTATTTTGTAGCTTGTCCGTAGCTTTGTCTTGTGTGTGATGTCCGTAGGGTTGTCTTGTGTAATTTGTGTGTGTGATGCAGTCACCCCGTACTTAACTATTACATAGATTTATGTCTGCCGAGGGGTTGCTCGTCTTTTCTGCCCCTTTAAACGATATAGACAATTTAGTTTTTATATATTTGTTCTCGCTAATACCTATAATGTATAACGACAAGTATAGGTTAGCGTAGCGAACTCCTCATATGGGAGATAACTTCAGTCAGTGCTGCTTGCATCATCCCGTGTTGCCTGCATCAGTCGGCGTTGCTTGTATCATCCAGTGTTGCCTGCATCAGTCGGTGTTGCTTGCATCATCCTGTGTTGCCTGTACCAGTCGGTGTTGCTCGCAGCATCCAGTGTTACCTGCACCAGTCGGTGTTGCTTGCATCACCTCGTGTTGCCTGCATCAGTCGGTGTTGCTTGTATCATCCAGTGTTGCCTGCATCAGTCGGTGTTGCTTGCATCACCCCGTGTTGCCTGCATCAGTCGGTGTTGCTTGCATCATCCAGTGTTCCTTGCACTAGCCGGTGTTGTTGTGCCGTAAAGATGTGGGACCCAACCCGTGTTAAAAGGCATTATTGATGCCGCTGCCGGGCTTCACTCTCAGCGTCTGAGGGTTGGGTTGACGGAGTTGTTGATGTAATATTATAATATGTTTAATCTGAACTGAATTGTCGCTTTTTATACATTTTATGATTGCAAATCTACCCCACAATGCTTCATATACTTTCAGATGCATTATTTAAGATTTAGACGAAGCGCTGACCGGTCTTACTATCATAGTTCAACATTTCACCCTTCAAATTAGTTTATTATGGGCGAAGTTATGACTGTTAGGAGGTCATTTATTAACGTTACTTGACTATCGTTAAATTTCTATGTCACGCGGGTGTTTAAATACATTTAAATCTTGATCATCCGATGATCTAGAGAGTTGAGTATGTAATACATGTCTAATACATAAAGGAAGGACCTACAATAGGGCGATTTACCTCCTATATAATGTACCTTTAAATGGCTTCAAAAATAGTTTTACAATTTTATCGGCAAGGAATGGGAGGTAAATACTGACGCTGTATTTATTCATCCCTCGGGTTGTTAGGGTGGTCTAGTTGTTAATCCATCCTCGTGGGGTTTTCTCTGGATCCTCCCATTGCCTGTTCCCGATATCAAAAATATACAAGGATCCCAATACAATAACTACAATATCTATACTGTAACTGTATTGTCCTTTCTCTCCTTATAGTAGGGGGGCTATAGCTGGCCGTTGTTCCTAAACTCGCGGACAAAATTGACACTATGCCTAACGGAGGCACCATGATGGCCGATGATCAGAATGGGAAAATTTAAGCTGCACATCCCCAGGGTTTTTGGGCTGCACACCCCCCGAAATCGCGGAAAAAGTCGATTTAAATCTATTTGACCTATAGATAAAACGTGCCCTTCCGAAGAAAATATCACCTAGTTTCTGCACTTCCTACTGACTCCGATAGACCGGTTTATTTCAAATGTGACGGACAACTTTGATTCCTATTTCAGTTGAGGTCCGGTGTATACATTGACGTGCACGTAAAAGATCTCTTGGCTGTTGGAATTCGATATAAGGGTAGGACATAGTGCCGGTGCCCGGGCAAAATTTCCCTCGTAGCACACTGTATGGCGTCATTTGCCCAGTCGAAGCAGAACAGTAGGACGTTAACCTTCATTTCATCAGCAGTGGGAGAAGATTTTCCTTCATGCCGGTACCAGCTGGGACACGTAACCACTCCACTTGTCAGAACTAAGATCCTTTTGGTACTGCCCCACCCCCCCAACAACTTTTATAAACAAAATGACGTTGTTATCAAAGACAAGAATAATTACTGTTGATAATATGTATTCTGTATAACTTTATTGATATTTATATCGAAAACATGACCATTGTCGAATTAAAAACAGAATCAATCTGCGCGTGCTATGTATTATATTTCAATAATTAATTTATATCAATATCAACCACTTTGATGAGATTACGTTCTTGTGTACCGCTACAATTGATTCTGATGCACGTGTTCACAACCACTGGGCTGGTGCTCCTCCCTGTGGCTCTTTCTCCCCATGACGGCTGTCATACGCAATATTTCTCATTTGAGGAGGGGTGGCTTGGATATAAAAACCAGTATAATGACAGGCGTAGTACACGGAGCAGGATATGATTACTCTGTCTGGAACACATGTCACTCTGTGCTGGATTAACCATTATGCAAAATAAGCACGTGCTTAGAGGCATCATTAAAATGGGGACACCACAGTATGTTTAATTTGTTAGATACCAAATTTAAAATATTTCATTTTAAGATTAATTAAGAAACTTTAAACAGTTTCACATTGTTTTTGTATTTTCATACTGTTACCTGTTTTGTCGCAATTAATAATAATGTGTATAAAATTAAAAACAAATTACTCTTATCAGGTGTTTGGCGGTTGTTTGTTTGTTGGGGATCACGTGGCTAAGTGGGTAAGACGCTGGCTCGCTAGCCTGGAGGTCGGGTGTTCGATCCCGGCATTGGCCGAGAAAGTTCATCCAGATTTTCCGGCGTGGTTCCCCTTGTCAGTGATGCAGGACAGAGGGCCAGACAAGGACAGCTCTAGTCCTTCGGATGGAACGAAAAACCGAGGTGCTGTGTATACATTGGCATGCAACCGCCAAGGGATCTTTTACGTGCACGCCAATGTGTACAATGGACCTCGGTTTTTCGTCCCATCCGAACGACTAGACAGCTTTCCTTGTCAGCCCCTCCGTCCTGCATCACCGACAAGGGAGAACCACGCCGGAAAATCTGGATGAACTTTCTCGGCCAATGCAGGGATCGAACACCCGACCTCAGGCTAGCGAGCCAGCGTCTTACCCACTTAGCCACGTCATATGAAATGAAATGGGGTTTAACATTCTACATTGACTGATCACTGAGCTTTCAAGGAAATTCAACTTTACAGAGCATAATCATCAAGGAAAACCTTTGTTCAGAGCGAGCGTTCAATTGCTTATTAATATTATAGATTATAACATCACGTCTAAAATACATCACATTTTGCGAACATACAACTTTAAGTCCTTGCTCATTTGTGCAGATCATTTTATTTGAATTTCATCTCATTCGTAAATGTATTGAAATCGGGGTCACAATTATTTTACTCTCACCCGTAAAATATTTAATGTTTATTTATATAAGTCAGGTTCCACTATATTCTGACTGTAACAGTTAATGTTTATTTATATTAGTCAAGTTCCACTATATTCTGACTGTAACAGTTAATGTTTATATTAGTCAGGTTCCACTATATTCTGACTGTAACAGTTAATGTTTACTGTTTTATACCCGTCACCTCCACTTCACATAGAGTGAGAGCTTCTGTTGGTTTGGATATCCTGATAAACCTGCCCACTGTTTTCTCATCGCATTCAAATGTTCGCACGGTACATCCAAACACTCCTGGTAGAAATATACACAGTTTAGAAGTTGGATTACCGACAGTTGGATCTGTATCATATACCATTACAGTTACATCAGACAACCGTTCACCAACAACAGAAATAAATACAAAAATCGACGCCAGAATGAAGGGGTTCGTTTTATCTTTTACGAGGAGCGACCTTTCTTTCAACCGCAAACGATTATCCATATTTTGACTTAATCAGAAGCAGCAGACCGGGTTCTAATCCGGTCAATATCGCAGACTAGTGATGCCATCGAGGGTTAATTATGGTCTGTATAAGTTAATCAATGTCTAATCAGTCAGCAGACGGTCGTCTTTCGAGACTGTCTACATTTTCTTATTTGCGTCTTTGTTTTCAGTATTGTTTGAATATGTACACTATCTGTATTCATTATGCCTCTATTCTGTTCAATACTAAACAGTTTCTCATGTTATGTTAGACCATTTAGTTTTAGACTACCTGTTTTTTTATGCATTTAACCGATGTGGTTAATGTATAGTTAATTTTTACTTCAGTATGCTTACATTAATATTTTTTGTAACATATAGCAGATCATGACTCATGCTGGCTTTACATGATGGTTTCTCTGGGTTGTATTCCTGATTATTTTCAAATTTGAGTATCA